CAGGAGAGCAAGGAGAAAGGCAATTAGGGATCAGCCCCAAAGCTTGCCCGACATAAAAGAGCCGGGGTTGCATGCACGAGGCATGCGTGAGGCTACGTACTCGCTTCATCTGAATCGTAGCTGTTGGCTTCATCCTCTTCTTCATCCTGAGGTGGCTGCTGCTGACGGGCAGGGGTGGACGGCATGGGCACGGCAGCCACTTGCTGATATGGTGCTGGCTGGCGTGCGGTCCTCTCCTCCCTCGCCACGGCCCCCGGGTAACCGCCTCCACCTCCTCTCTCATCCCTGGGAGCAGCTGCCGAGTAGACGGGCTCGGCCTGGGGCGGACCCATCGACTGGCTCGCTGCATGGGAGGAAAGCAGCATTTGACAGAGGCCTGCAAAGCTCGGGGTGACAGAAGCCACCTCTCGTCATCATAATTCGCACACGACTGGCGTCTCTGAATAAAACCAGCCCCTCAAACCAATCACAAAGCCACCAGCGAAATGCCAGCATGGGCACCCTCCGCACACACAGCCTCCCAGCAGCAATAAATGCCGGGCTCCGACCCACGGCGCACGGCCGAGCACGCACGCGCCCCAGCATCACAGCACCGTCGGCAGCTGGAAGTCAGCAGAGAAAACATCCAACGGGAGCAAAAAGCCTGGATTGTTTCTGTGCATTAGGAGAAGCCAAGGGCCCTCTCGTCTCCCCAGGGCTATTCTGTTCTGCCTGATGCAGAAAGGTGCGCTGCCTTTTATCAGGCACGTCCTGGGTAGCACGCGGCTCACAGCTTCCTCTGCCCTGCATTTAAGCCTAAGGTTGCAGGGAGGCGATATTTCAATCAGGATTCCTCAATGGCTGGGAATTCATGCAAGAAGAAAGCAGGGAAGCTCAGAAAGGAGAGAGCTGACCCACTTCTCCTCTCCAATCTTGGCAGGGAGGTCCTGGGGGAAGACAGCAGCATCTTGGCAATGTGAATTACTGGAGGAAAAGGGCCTGAAATACTGCTGGGCAACACTCAGGCATCCCAGCACGGCATGCCCGCCTGCGCCGGGAGGAGCGACAGAGCAGAGACGTTCACTTTGATTTGAGCTTGGTTTTCCTCCTCCCCTTAATGCTCTGAGGGCCAAATTCTGCACGGGTGCAAATCGGCAGCTGCCCCGTAGGCATCACTCGTGTCGCCGCTGATTTGCAGCAGAGCCAACGAAAGCAGAAGGTGGCCCTCAAAGAGGAAGAACAAAGCTTTAAATAAATCATACGCGAGTACAAAATGGCTCAGAAAGTGAGCCGGGCTGGCCCAGCCTGTCACTTAACTGCAATGCGGCCGTGCCATCCATCAGCCCGGCCGGGCAGAGAGAAAGGAACGGGAGCTGTGCAGGGAGATAAATCAGGGCGGTATGTAGCATGCTGGCTAAATAGAGAGAGAGGGAGAGCTGCTCCCGGGGCTAGGCTTCGGCTCCCTTTTCCCAGCCGGTTATCTTGGCGGGGAGGTCTGTTACCATCCGAACGGGTCTTGCCTTGACGGAGGCAAAAGGCAGCGCCCAGTATGGTTGCACTGGACACAGCATTTGCTAAATGCCTGAGAGAAATGCTCTGCCGCTGGAGATGCCACCCTTCCTGGGCAGGGCTAGGATGGCATTCCCCATCATCTCCCCGTCGCCTGCCTTTGAAACCTCTGGGAAGAGCAAGCACCTCTCAGGGTTACCCGAGAGTGACTCCGAGCCAGGGCATCGCATTGCACAGACCCATTACGGTTCCTTACCTTGTCTTTCGGGAAATCTACCCCCCGGACCGGGGCCTTGTCTGCTGCCTGCCGGAGGAGCTGGGGGATAAAGAGTTATCGTGTTATCCCTCAGCAAGCAGGGAAGCCAAATGGGAACCCCCCCGCCACCGGCACACGTCCATTTTCACTCCCCCAGCATGTGCCCCAAAGCGTACCTGGCTGGGCGGCAGGGCTGGGACTGGCAGCCGGAGGAGGAGGCCTGGAGCCTTGAACTGAATTGGCACGTTTCACACCTAAAAGGAGAAGAAACGATGAAGGGGAGCAGGGGCATCTCATTTTCCAACGGCGTAACAGGATCGCCGTGGAGCAAAGGGCCATTGAGAACATGTAAACGCTGGCAGCGGGAGAGCCACGACAGCTGTTCGGTAAGAGATAAAGATGCAAGTCACTTGGGGGGGAAAATAGCCATGGTTGCAGTGGCTGGAAACAACCAGCCAACCGCTCAGCGGGTGTAAATCAGCGTGGCTCCATGAATTACCAGTGGAGGCTGCTGGGTGTGCCAGCCAAGGGTTGGAGCCCATCCATGCATTTTTGCAGAGGAGACGCATCAGCCTCTCCCCTCCGGTGCCACCGCTGCGAGAAGCGAGGGTCGCCCCAACCGCACCGCACCTGGCCCAGAGATGCGGAAAGCAAATTCTCACCTAAAAAGAACATTTCCTAAAAGGAGGTTCCCCCCCCACCTTCTCCAAGGGTGCCAGTAATACAGGTGGAGACTCACTGCAGGCAATGTCTAGTAGCAGAGCTTAAAAATCCCACGCTAGATCCCTGGGACACCCACGTACAGGATTACTCCCGTCACCAGAGCATCTCCGAGTGCATCGTGAAGGTGGTCCGCTGCCGCTGGCAGCAAAAGGAGGCACGAAGCAGTTAACTACTGCCCCACACTTACAGCAGATGGCCCCAAATTTCCATCTGCTGCCGCGCCAGTGGTGGAGTGATCAGAGGAAAGAGCCTGAGAGAAGGCCAGGACTGCATCACTACCTCGGGCAGCACGGTTCGGAGCAGGCCTAACCCAACACGGGAGATAACTAGGCAAGAGGAAAACTGCGTGAACAAGCTGAGCCTTCGGTGTACCGGCAGTCACCACCTCAAAGCCAAGGAGCAAAGTTATATAGTCTCCGGTCACGATGCTGGTGCAGGAGCCAGCCTCCACCATGGCTCAGTCCTCCTGGGAAGCAGGAAGCCAATGGATTCATACAGATCCATTGGCCAAGGGATTCATAATCTCAATCCATCCCGTGTGCTACTGAAAATACTCGTCCAGCCCCAGCCTCCCTCCTGCAGCAAAATGACACCTATTCCAGTAGCCTCCCAGCCTCACGCAGCCACAGAAACGGGAGCCCGGCTTTGAGCCTGACTTGAGATGTGCCTTAAGAGGGAGTGTGAAGTAATTAAAGCCTCGTTATGCCTAGGCACTGCAGGAAAAACAAACCGCTCGCTGCCGGACGGCGGCGCGCCGGGGAGAAGAGCGGCTTCAGCTCAGGGCTGCGCAGAAGATAGAAGAATAACAGCCTTCGCTTGGAGAGGAGGGAAACTGGGTAAGTTATAATTAGAAGAAAGAGAATAAAGACGGAAACAGATATATGGGGCATCAGTGTGCGTGGGATGAACTGACAAGGAAACATAAACTGATTAGGAGCCTTGTTAAAAGTTATTAAGTCTCTCTCTCCCCTCCTCCAACGCCCACTGCCAGGAAGGTTTCCATTTATCCCGCAGCCTGGCAGGAGGCAGAGCTGCTTTCTCTCGCCGACACCTCCACATTTCTGGGTCACCTCTGAGCACAAAACCAGCCCCGGCCACGCGACACACAGGTCAGCGCCCGCTTCCTTCTCGCCTCCGAGAATAGGGAGGTCAGGAAGTGCTGAGAGCTTGAAGCCACCCCCACGGGTTCGGGAAAATGGGAGCACTGTCAACATGAAACGCAAAAGGTTTTCAAAGACCCCTAGCACCCGAGGCAAAAGCCAGCTCAGCCAGGCTTCTGCGCTGTTGTATTTAAAGGTGAGAAAACAAGCTCCTGTGTCTGGTGCACAGCTGGAGTCGGCTTTTATGGGATGTGAAAAACAGGCGCTCTCCTTTGTCGCCGGTGGAGATGAGCTGTGCTACATAAAACGGGCTGCCGTGGCAGGAGGCTGCAGCTCATTTGGACCTGCCGTCTGGTGGAAAAGCAGGCTGCCGGGAACGATAAGCATTCAGCTGCTCGCCAGCCCAAGCCCGCAATCAGTCCCTTTCCAGGCACATACAGCCTCCGTGTTAATTTGTACAACGTACCGCAAACCGTCTCAACAGAGCAAGCAAGCTAGCAGAAACAAGCGCTGCTAGCACTGGTGTACCCATGGGCAGTCAGAGATGCAGAATACCGAGCGAAGCAAACCCTGGGGCTGCTCCCATCTGATCACCCCCGCGCCCGCGCTCTTCTGTTTTCCAGCCTGGTTATGATCTTTGCTGCAAATGGAGGGGCAGCGTGTAGAACGGAGCGCTTTCTCAGCAACGAATAGGTTCCCCCACCAGCTCCCTCTGCTCCCATTATAACCATGAGCGGGTCCCGATTAATACCCGTGCTTTCCATTTTAGACAAGAATCCATTGTTTCCCTGTTTCTTTTAACCTCTAGGTAAGAGATGCATGATCCCCAGCCAAAAGCACTCTTCAGGTCACGATCAAGGGCAGTGCGGAGGCATGATGTGAATCACATGGGGCACTGTGTCTTCACCCTGACTGGGCAAATATAACAGGAAAGCCTCCCTGTTTGGGGAAGCGTTTAAGCACATGCATGGTCACGCTCGATACAAGACATTTTATGCCGTGTTCGCCCAGTCCCTGGGGGCAAGGGGTACGTGCATGCAGGTGTGATCTGGACAATCTTGCCCAGGTCTCCTGATGCAGTCCCTGTAGCCTGTGGCTCAGTAAGACAATGAACTGCCAATAGACTGCAGTACTTTATGGTCAGTAAGGGCTGGAGTACCTGTGGGAAGTCTGGCTGTGATAAGTGGGAAGTCTGGGTGTGATAAGTGAGCCCCTTGTACAGCACACTGAAGATGCCTTGGTGCAGGATGGTTTTTCACGTGGGCAGGGACTGGGGTGAGCAGACTAGCACCAGACCGTGCTGCTAGAGGGATGAACGGGGAAAGCACAGCTCGGTGGCTTGCTGGCTCCTGCCTGGCCTGCAGACCGCTCCACACCCTTCAAATCCAACTGCTGCAACTTTGGCTACTCCAGATGCGACTGAGAGCTTCGGCTGCATTGGCACCGGCCACGGGGAGGACATGACTGGCACCTCCAGCCATGGGCTATTAAATATTCCTTTCCTATTAAAGGAATTACCAAGGACTTGAATATTCAACAGTGATGTGTGGCTTAGCAAAATAAATCTGCAAAGCTCAGCTCTCAGCTGAAAGGCAGCCTCTGAAGCTGCTTTCCAGCCTACAAAGCCACCTACAGAGAACTCTGTCCTCAACAAGCTCAGGCATAAGCTGTCCGTCATCGGGTTTTAGTGGAACTGCTGACGATGGCATGGGGCACATTCAGATTTCGTGGAGCATCAACCGGCAGAATCAGTGCCACGGCCTCGATAAAGGGAGCTCTGCAATCACCCTGTGCAGAGGTCTGGAGCTGCCTCAGCTCGTTATGGTTGTATTTGTTTGGTGCCTGCCCACCATCCTCTCTCGCCTGGCTGCAAACGAGGAGCCTTCTGAAGCCACGTGTCCGGTGTGTCATGGGCTGTCATCGGGGTGCGAAACCAGGCCCCTCAGTGGACCTCAGTGGACCATCCCACGGCAGAGCTCCAATACTTGAGCCAAATTAGCACCCCGCATTAGCTGGTCCAGTAACCCAGGCACTAGAGTGGACTGGGACATAGACACGCGTGTGCACACCTACCCGCACACCCACACACACACACACAACCTCGATTTTCCATTGCTTCCTCTCACCTCCGGGGCTCCGGCTGACCTCGCTGTCTGCAGAGTACTCCCAGTGGTCAGGCTCTCCGCCAGCATACTCGCCACCACTGGGGCCCATTCTGGCCTCGGATGGCTTACGGCTCAGAGGGGGGTAGCTTCCTCTCCCGGGAGCGGCCGCCACCGCTTCACCACCTGGAAGAACAGCAACGAACCATGACAGTGAGAGGCGCTCGTCTCTGCCCTGTTTCTAACCCACCCCTTGCTCCGTTATTGCCATCGGCAGTGAAAGGAGCCCACGGGAAGTCATCCAGCTTGGGGGGTCTTATATTTTTATTCCCCATTCTGATAATGGTTAGGAAGCCATCACGGTGTTGGGGAATGGCAGCTTCCAGCCTCGTCCACAAGCACAGGATGTCCTGACAAGCGCAGAAGTGATGGAAACCAGCCAAGGGAATGGGGCAGCAATGGGCTATCACAGAAAAGACCACAGAAATGAAGCGTCAAGCCCACTGCAGGTAGCCCCTGGTCCGATGTCACCCAGCTCTACAGCAACATCTGCTTATTTGTTTCCTGGAGCCACAAAGCCCACGCAGCCAGCCAAGAAAGCAGGCAGCTGTTAGCAGCTGGCACGGCGAAGGCGACCGGTGGAAATGGCACTTCCGAGGCACAGGATGACATATGACTCATCCCCTCTCACAGGAGGGTGAAACCCAACGGCAGGAGATCCACACAACCCAGCTGGCTTCAGTGACGAGATCCAAGCAGATGGCCTTGCTATGCTTCTCAAGCCTAACCATGTCGTTAGACAGATCCGGAGAGAAGCAACTTCTTAATAGACCCTAGCTCCGCTTGTCGCTGTCCCCAGAGAAGCCTGTCTTCCCAGGCGAAGCGCTGCCTTCCCTTGCCTTTGCCTGCCGTTAGCTTCACTCTGTGCCAGAGGTCTTAAATAGGATTCGGCATTTTGAAATGGCCAGGGCAGGTGGCATCAGAAAGGGCCCAGTGGGCACCCAATGAGCTATGGGTTAATCTCATCAGAGATGATCGAAAGAGCAAAGGAGTATGTCTTTGAAGGCAGCAGGCTGGTGCCCACACTGAGTTCTCTGTTTCTGGGCTCCTCTCTTGCTCGCTTTCTAAGCGGTGCCCCTAAAAAAAAGGGGGGCCGACTGCCTCACCAATATTTGGGGCACTTGGAGGTTTTTTCCAAAGATGCTGGTGACAACGCACAGCAACATCGCCACAAGAAACCTACCGCAGCAACGAGCCCGGTGCTCAAAGAATGGGAGGCTGCACCCATATAACACACAAGACTGGCTATAACACCAGCGCATGCATTAGCAAACTCAGGCCTGCTGCCGATACCAGCCTGGGTTTCAGGCACCTCTAGGTCAGTACCCAGGGGATTCAAACAGGCAATATAAGAACACCTCCAAAGGTACAGGGGAGGGAGCAGAGCAAGAGTCAGCCCTTAGCAGAGCCACCCAAATTCAAACCACTTGGTACATGGCCAGCTGCACGTCCCAGTCCATCTGGATGCAGGAATCACTCTGCACAATTGATTTTACCTAGGATCCAGAGGGAACAAACTAATGGAAAAAGGGAATGAAAGAACCAATAGGAAGTAGAGAGAAATACACCAGGTCAGCAAGGAAATGGGGAAGCAAAGAAAGGAAACCATAAGTCTTAGGGTCTACAATGTGCATCAGACCCTGAACAGAATTACAACCCGAGTATCTGCAATAAGGAGACGTAACATGTTTTTCCTACCACCTTCCATTTAAGGAGGGGACCACAATCGCTGTCTCTGCTTTTCGCTGCCATTCATCTGGCGCCGGTGGTTTGAGTAGATAAATTACGGCCCCACTAGTTGGCATCCCGGTATCTGCTTGTTGATAGATTGCAACGCACAGCTGTGATGCAAAAGGGCTGAGCTCTTACCTGGCTCCTGCCGGAGATGCCAGGTATAAATCTTTCATAGGACATAAATGGTGTGTTTACCCTTGGATGAATTGTCAGGGTCACCTCGCACAAGGAGACGGTTTAGCAACAGATGGGGACTGCTTTGTAAATGCAGAGGTACTTATTGTGGGGAAAAATGTGCCTTGCACAGCGGGCGCCTTGTCACTCAAGAATAGCAGCCTGATAAATGATATGCAGAGGCCAGCCTTGGGAAAATCATTGGCATACTAAGAACATGTTGATAGCCAGAAACGGCCTGGTAGAAAGGTGATAAATGGCCACATAGTCACCGTGCAGCTGATGGTTTAATAAAATAAGGGTGTTTAAGATGCTGTCTCCACTGGAAGGAAAAAGGAACAAGTTGCATCCATATTTGAACAGGGTCAACACCTGAGCCAACCGTTCCCAAGTCTTTATTGGTCCAACAGGCCACCATCAACCCTCAAAGTTTCTCGTGCATCACCGTGCACCTTTACCATCAAACTTTTGAAAGGGGGAGCTTCATGCAATGTGCAAACCACTTCCCGTGGTCTCACAGACCATGGATGGGGAGCCCCTGGACTAGGGGACTACATAGATGGTCTCCCCAACTACTGTGCATGGTGAAGGACACCATTACAGTGTTTAACGGTGCTTCATCAGCGGCGGGCTTGGTTTCAATTTAAGCCAACCAGCCCCAACGCCATGTCATTCCTGTGGAAGCAGAGGTGCTTGTTGCCTTTATAAGTGAGCCAAAGTGTAAGTCAGGGCCTCTCTTAAATGCTCACCTACAACCCCCAAGGTCTTGTCTTCCTTGCTCTTCCAAAAGGGAGACAATGGTGACCTGGCTCATGTCTGCCTCCAAGAAGTGGGATGACACCAGGCCCTGCTGACATCAGATGCGTCCTGAACCATCAAGCCCTTGGCCAGCCATATCAGCAAAGTCCAGTTGGGGGTCAGCGAGTGGGAGCTAATGAACTAGTCCCCTCCACGGTGCTCCTGGGGTCACACTTCTCTGCCCTTCCATTCAGAGAAGCTTTAATAAGCTTCTCTGAATGCTTATTAACATAACAATGCTTATTGTTCAGCACCAATAAAACCCCCAGGCCGAGACAGCCAAATATTCACTGCTCACAGGACCTCTCAAGTCCCAGAGGATGTGCTCTGGTGCATCACTGCGCCACACTCCCTGGGGTAGTCCTTGCTCCCAGGTTTACCTGCTTCTGGTCTTTGTCTCATCCCCTTCCTTCCTCTGTAGGCAGCCGGGCTCTCCTCTTCTGAACTGTAGCCACGCTCAGCATCGTGGCTGGGCTCCCGGGGTCTCACTACAGACCAACACAAGGAAACTCAAATTAAAAAGACTCAGCCTGGTCTTGGTGCAAAGACAGCAGTCACGGTACCCCAAGCAACAGGCAATCCCCATGCAATTAAAAGGCTAGAGTGCATGCATACTGCTGCACAATACTGGGTGGGATCTGAACGGCTCAGCTGCAGGTCTGAAACCCTGCACAGCCAATTGCTTTAGCTTATGTATTCGGGAGCCTGTGAATTCGTGGCAGGAGCATCTGAGTTCTGCCCTGCTACCACCATGGGATGCCGAGCTATCGCTGTGTGCCACGCAGGAACGACTGCAAAGTCCCGGGGAGCGGGGGATTTGTTGCGGGGTGATACGTGCCTTCGGAAATGAAGCCCGGTTTCAGTAACCAATGAATCAAGCCTCCCCAGCTATTGAAAGCTATTTGACAGCTCCTTTATATTTGGCACCGCAAATTCTGGCTCGGTGACACAAGAAGGGAGGGAAGAAGGAGGGGGCAATAACAGACCGGTAGGTTGGCGACAAACCTGGCTTCCTGCCTGTTGCTCTCTTCTCCTCCGAGCCGCCTGTGGGGGAAGGGAAAAGGTGAATGTTTGCAGCAACAGGGTGGTACGGGCTCTGCTCTCGCGCGGGTGGCCAAAGGCAGGGAGCAGCTCTCAGCCGGCTGGAGCCGTGCTGATGAGTTACCATCTGCCGCTCTGCAGCCGCAGCCACTAGCCGGCTAATCATCATCCTGACAGCCTCAATCATGAGGGATGGATCTGGCGATGATGTGGGTGTCAGGTAATCCTACAAGGTGCAAGCAGTGATTCAGATATGCAAAAGGGGGCTGTTATTCCAACTGCAAGTCTTCTTGAAATGGCCATGACAGCATCCAGACGGGAAACGGAGCTGAGGACATTTCTCACGGTCCCCCAGCAAGGAGGGGAGCGCAGTGTGATGTGGAGCCAGGCCAGAAGGAGCCGGGTTGCAGCAGGCTCAAGGAACGGTTTCACCCCCTACCTGCCCCCTAGTCCAGGAGGCTGGGGCTATTTGATGTATGGCCTGTGAGAGGTTAAAAATCACCGCAAACCAGTACACAGGAGTCATGTGAATACTACCACGGCTTTTCAAGCAACTCCAGCTAGCACCAGCGAAGCATGTTTCACCATCGAAGTATTATAGCCCTTCATCTACCCAAGCCATAGGCTTAGTTAAACCCTCTTTCAGCAGCTGGGGAAAATGAAGGGTAACTGTCCATACCCAGTAATCGGAGGGGTTTGATCCCAAAACTCCCACGTTAGGGAGATAAGCCTTTCACACCTTCAGCTGGTATCTGTATTAAGCTCGTATCTTCTCTGTGGACCAGCCAACACTGGGGGATAATTACATGCCAGTGCTTGCAGGTATTATCTTAAGTATCTTCCCAAAGCCATGGAGGGAAGCAGCCCTCCAAGCCTGTGGCCTGACCTCTTCTTCCCTAGGGATTGACATTCACCCACTGCAAACTCACCCTCTTTAATGACACAAATTAAATAACCTGAAAACACAGTGAAGAGCATGTGAATCCACATGAGGAAATAACACCTCCAGAACCAATTCAGCTCGACTCGTTAAATTACAGCATTTCAACCGAGGAACGTACGGGAGGTGGGAGCACACCAGAATAGCTGAACTCCTGCAAGGTGGGTGAGCGCAAAGAAATCCTGCGATGTGACAGGCTTCCCACAAGTAAATTACAGGCCTAGCCGGTGGCACTGGATAAGAAAAACGGCAAGAGAAAGCACTCTGCCTCTTCATGTTGGTAATTGCTTTATGATGATGGAGTCTAATGGCCTGTGTTATGCAAGAAGACGACTAAAAGATTATAGGGATCCTCCAGAAATCTAGCACCCTTGTGACATCAGACCAGTCCAAAACCCCCAATCGAACTGCTCCCAGACTTTAGGACGCGAGATCCAGACCTGAATTTTGAAGCCCTGACCCCATCTGAGCCGTCGCTGTGGGTGCAATCCCAACATCTCCCCGGCACTCGATAATGCCATGAGTCAACAGCCTCTTTAGTCAACGGCAAGGCCCAGCCCCGCGGGCTCCGCGAGGGGCTGCTGGGCCCAAAACAGCACCCTGCACATTTCCAATTTGCTGATTCATGCCGGGAGAC